ATATATAAAGATTTGTGTCCGCTAAAGAAAAAAGTGATCAATGATATCTTACAGGTTTTCCTTTAATTGGATAGCAAATTGTATCTCCCAAATGCTGTTATTTGTGAAGATGTCAATCGAAGGCTTTATCTGTGTTTGAGACTTACAGACCAGGTAATTACCATTTTCTATCTTTGAAAAGAGAAGTGTTAACATATATAAAAGAGGCATAAGGTTAATTGATATTTGGCAAATTAATGCTCTATTTATAATGCTTTCTTTAACAAATTGGACTACAACAGACCCACTTCTTGAACCTCACTTCTGTGCAGCTCTGCTTATTATTGAAGCCTATCATAGTTCTCGGGCTTTTTTCAATATCAGTTCATGAACCCAAGTGTAAGAGGGACCCAGAAGATTATAGGGTAAGGGTCCAATTTTAGTCTAAAATAATTAATGTGGACATTAAAATTTTGAAACACATAATTAAAAAAGGTAAACACGTAGGTTTATATTATAGTTATCATGTGTGGACATCTTTATGGAGTAAATTTTATCATTTATGCTCATTGGCAAATTATATGTTAGGCTTTATTGTACACATAATTTTGTATTGGCTTATTTTCTACACAAGCACTAACCAGGAACAACCCTACAAAGCTTCCAAGGTGACATGATATTACATCATTCAAGCTATCAATTCCATACATAGATTTACTGTTTTCTCTCACATGGATTCTTGAGGTGGGAGAGAAGCATGGAAGCTTCTCTTTGAGGAAAGATAAGGACACAGGGGGAGAGAGAGTGGGGAGAAAAGAGAGAAAAATAAGTGATAAATATGATCAAGGAACGTTTTATGAGAAAGTAGGAAGATTTTCAGACAAGTTGGTAAGCTGCAAGCTGATGGTAAAGTAGAAGAATCGGAATAAGAAAATATATAGAACCTATTTCAAAAAGATGAAGATAGAAAGAGCATGAGAAATTCCCAACGGTAGTAAGAGGATCTGAGATAAGCACAGAGAAAAAGATGGGTGATCAATAAAGAAGCCAAAAAAACACTCGTCATTGGCTCCCCAGTAGCGGCAAGTGACGGGGAAGCAAAGGACTCTTTCTAAAGGTGAGGTTCTAGTGAAGAGACTAGACACATATCTTCAGGGCAAGCCACAACCCTTACAAGCTTCTAAAAACTTACAAGTTTTGGTGAGACGGTGATTCCTGAGGTGTGTGGGTCATCAGTCAAGGGGCAGTCTTATCCTGTATCTGTGTGTGATGCTGTAGACAAGACCCAAGTAACGTCTTGAAGGTTAGCAAATTGTTTGAAACTGAGCCACAGTGGAGACCTAAGAACAGAAGAAAAAAAAAAAAACTGTAAGACAGAAAGACTTGATTAAATCTGCTTTAGCCCCAAGGTGAGAGACAACCCTGAAAGGCAGCTAGGGAGAGACAGAGAGCCCAGGCACTGATAAGTCAAGAACTACAGGTAACGAGAGGCTCAACTTGAGCACAGAGAAAGGTAGCCCTGCTTTCTGTTGCTGACGCAAATATCAAGACTGATGATAATGGTCTCACCAGCAATCTAGTTATTGGGTACATCAATACCTGGAGGCATTCATCTGTCATTCATTGCTATAGAACCTGAAAACTCTCAGGCTTTCCTGGCATACTGACACCTAAAAATACATCGCTCTGATAGAGTGATTAGCACTTAGCGGTTTTGAAAGTCTGAAGACAAGTTCCCTACTTATACATATCTCAGTGCTATGGTTGTGTGTCATTCTCTCGCTGTAATTGGGAGATAGCTTCCTACAGCTAGAGCATTAGACACTCCTGTGATGGAATATATATCTGGGAGTCAGACGTGCAGTGAGAACCTTCCTCTGATCAAAGACTACGGTGATAATATGACCAGAAGAAGCCCCTAGTAGGCAAAGAAGGAAAATGTTTGTGGCAGACATCAAATGAGAGTTCAGTAAAGTCCTGGCCAAGGAAAGGAAGAAAAGAGTTCACAGGATCAAGTGATTTTGCCACCTCCATGCATAAGACATGCTACTTTTTCCCCACTTGCACACATAAAACTTGCTACCTTTTTGCATAAAACACACTGCCAACATGCTATCTCCATGAATAAAACACACTACCTCCTTGCTGCATCCATTAAAAAAAAACTAAATCCTTGCTACCACCATGCACAAATCATGCTACCTCCAATTTTCAAGGGCTTGGAAGATATTTCACTATTTCATCTTTATTTTCTACAACCACTGTGCTTTCTGTACTTTTATTCTCAAACTTCTAGCTATAGCTTTGTTTAACCATATTTAAGAAAATGTTTTTATTTTCTGATTGTATCCATACAATCAGCTAACATTTTTTCATATTCTTTATTTTTGTACAATCGTTTATCTTTTCTATTTCTTTTCTTTTTAAACACCATGTTCTACCTTCCTATCATTTCCACTGCAATTTTACTGTTTTTTAATTTTTTATTATTTCTTTTATTTTGGAGATTATAATATAACTACATCATTTCCCCCTTTACTTTTCTCTCACCAAGCCTTCTCATATAGCTCTCCCTATTCTCTTTTAAATTAATGGTCTCTTTTTTCATCAATTGTTGTTACATGCATATAACAAAGTTTTCATGCTTTATCAAGGAAGATTCTCTTTGTAACAGATGGAGTAATTTGTACTTTTAATAATATTTTTATTGTTGCTATTGTTTTTAAAATATCATTGTTTTAAAAAATCCAAAGAAATAATGGCTCAGTGGCTAAAAAGAACTGTTATCAAACCTGATCTCTTGAGTTGGATCTTGGACCTACGTGTAGTAGGAGAAAACAGACTTCCCAAAATTTTGTGTGTTTTTGTTGTTGTTGTTTGTTTATTTTGTTTTGTCTACCACAAGAAAGAAAGAGAGAAGGAAGGAAATACAATAAATAACCATGTCTTGTCAGCAACCTGAAAAGCTAGGAAAACACAGAGCAACATATTTTAAGCCCCCAAAGTAATGAACTGCCAGCCGAGATTACTATTTTCAAAATAATATCTTTATAACATTGATGGAAAAATAGGCAGTTCAAGATAAGCTTAAACTAAGGCAATTCTTGACCAGTCCATCCTGTACTGATTAAATCACTTAAAGAAATCTTAACAGAGAAGGAAGAGAAAGAGATATAGTATCAACCCTAAGAACACACACACACACACAAAATAGATTTCATAAAAGAACAAATGAACAAGGGACACAAGCGAAGAATTCATTGTCCCCAACCCACTAACCAGCAATGCTAAATACTAATTAGAGTGAAATAAGAGAAACAAACAGTAATCCAAGAGAATCAGAAAACAACAATGAAAATAAGAATAAATAAATATCACTCAAGAACTATCTTACAAATGTATTACTACTTATATATCAAAATAGTTTTATATTTTATGGTGATTATTTTAAAATGTTTATGATGATTAGTGACATTATTTTAATAACTATCTTAATCATATCTAAATAATGAGAAATGTCTTAATAATTTTAACTTACCAACAAGGACTGGTTGATTGCATTTTAAGAATATATCCATCTGCTCAGGCAGATGCTAGCCAGCCATAGGCCAGCCAGTTTGGGCTGCTGTAGAGTTATGCCTGCATCTGTGGTCCTATCACAGCCAGGGTCTGTGTGAACATCCATGGCCCATGTTGCTACCAAAAGACACAAGGTTGCCCAGAATGGCCATATAGGTGTCCAAGGATCACTGCTGGAGCCAGCTGATCTGGTTGGCCTGTGCCACCACCTGGGGCCATAGTGTCATCTAGGCCTGAGCTGCCATATCTTGGTCCATGGCCCTATTGCAGTCAGGGTATGTTAATGTCCTTGGCTCCGTTGCCATCAAGGGGCATGCTGATTCCAGGGGTCTGACCCATTACTTGGGACCATATTGGTGTCTGAGGTCTGTGCTATTGATGGGGCTATGCCAATCTGGGAGGCCTTCATTGCCCCCTTGGGACCATGGTGACAACATCCAGACTGTGGCTGCTGCCGAGAACCATTTCTGGGTCTGTGGTCCTCCTGCAGCCAGGTTCTGTGTTGAAGTTCAGTCGTCATTGCCACTAGGACCCACATTGAGGCCAAGAGTCTGGGTCACAACCTGTGGCCCTTTCAGAGTCTGGGGGCCATTCTGCCACCAGGACCATAGTGTTTCCATCTAGGGCCATGGTGTCATCTGAGCTCTGAGCTGCTGCTGGGGGCCATGTCTGGGTCCGTGGCCCTATAGTGACCAGTGTCTAGGTTGAGGTCTGTGTCTTCTGTTGTGACCTAGGGCCATGTGGATGCTCAGGGTCAGATCAGCCACTTGAGTTCATGATGGTGTCTGAGGACCATATTGCAGCTGTGACCATACAAATCTGAGTGGCCTGTGCTGCCACCCAATGCCGCAGTGACATCTGTGCCAGAGCTGCAGCTGAGGGCCTTATCTGGGTGCTCCTACTGCATTCAGAGTCTGGGTTGATGTCTGAGGCTCCTGTTACCATGGAAGGCCCACGGTCTGGGGCCATGTTGATGTCTGAGGGCCATGCTGCCATGCCAATCTGAGTGTCCTCTACTGTTACCTGGGGCAATGGTGACATCTAGGATTGACTACTGCCAAGGATCAAATCGAGGCCAATGGTCCTATAGTGGCCAGGGTCTGTGTTGAAGCCAAGATCTGTGTTGTCACTAAAGGTCATAAGGAAGCCTTGGGTTGGGGCTACTGCCTGAGGCCTTAGTCATGTCCATCCAGGGACTATGCTCTGACCAGAATCATCCTGATCTGAGCTGCCAATGCTTCCAGCTTGGAGCCAGGAGGTCATTCAGACCCAAGGTGCTGCTGGGGGCTGTGTCTGGGTCCAGTGTAAAGTTTCAGTTGGGATCTGTATTGATGTCTGTGGCCTGTATCACCTCAGGGGACTATAGGAAATATGCATGATGAAATTACCATCAGCCGGTCTTAACTTTTACTGTCCCTGTGAAAGTTGGCCCTGCTTCTCGCTGGACATTGCAGCAAGAGAGCTGGCTCTGACCCTCATGGGAGAGCTGATGCCTATGTTCAGGACAGATAGCCCCACTCATTACAGAAGACCTAAAACTGACTCTGATGGCATAGACATAAAGGAGCTGGCTTTGTACCCTCGCCTGAGGCAGGTGGCCCCCGTGGTTCGGGATGACAAACTCACCTACCACTCAGGCCTGTAGCTGGTCCTTGGGTTGACCCATGGAGCTCATAAACCATACCCATAGGATCTCCATGATTCAGGGTAGCTTCTGGATATCCTGGAGGAGTTACAGGGAGAATCCAGTAATGATGGTGTTTCAGAAACCAGAAGCCTTGAAACAGACCAGTGACTCACTGCAATGAACCTTTGCTAGCAAAGCTGATCAGAAAAAAGGTATATGCTATGAGACACACTGCTTCCAGAGCCACCAGGATGAATGAAATGGTATTGGAGAGGCAGAAAAGATGGAGAAGTGAAGAGGATTTTGTTGTTTTGTTTTGTTCTTGTTTTTATTTGTTTGCTTGATTGCCTTATTTTGTTTTGTTTTGATTTTTTTTTTGAATTTTCTTTTGGGGACACTGTAGGGATGAGAGGAGGATATAGGGTGACTAAGAGGTGAGCATATTTAAGGTGCAAATAAAAAAACCTTTTTTATTTACACAGAAAAGGGGAGGTGATGTGGAGGTGATGTGTGATGTGAATATGTTTTATTGCCATTGGTTAATAAAGAAGCTGCTTTTGGTCCGTGGCTTAACAGAATAAAGCCAGTCTGGAAGAGATATGTAGAGAGAGAGAGAGAGTAGGCAGTGTCAGTGAGAAGTCATGTAGCCCTTCCAGAGGCAAATGCTGGATGGAAGCTTGCCGGTAAGCCACAGTCACATGGCAATATACAGATGAATCAAAATGGCTTAATTTAAGATATAAGAGTTAGCCAGAAATAAGCTTAAGTTATTGGCCAAACAGTGCTGCAAATAATATAGATTCTGTGTGTTTACTGTTGGACTAGGTGGAACAAAACTCTCCAACTACACAGGGTTTTTCTATATAACAGCCTTGCCTGTCCTAGAACTCACTCTATAACTCAGGCTGTATTCTAATACAGAGATCTGCCTGCATTTGCCTCCCAAGTGCTGAGTTTAAAGGTTGAGCCACCAATGCCTGGTGATGGAGGAGTTACTTTTATTTAATAAAGAAACTGCCTTGGCCCATTTGATAGGCCAACCCTTAGGTGGGTGGAGTAAACAGAACAGAATGCTGGGAGAAGGAAGCCGAGTCAGGGAGTCGCCATGATTCTCCCACTCCAGACAGATGCAGGTTAAGATCTTCCCTGGTAAGCCACCTCATGGGCTACACAGATTATTAGAAATGGGTTAGATCAATATGTAAGAGCTAGCCAATAAGAGGCTGGAACTAATGGGCCAGGCAGTGTTTAAAAGAATACAGTTTCCGTGTAATTATTTCGGGTAAAGCTAGCCGTGTGGGCGGCCGGGTGCCAGAAATGTAGCCCACCGCTCATCTTACAACAGCCTGGCTTAAATTTTCTTTCTGAAATCTGGCTATAGAATCACCGTATGAACCAGCTATGCCACTGCTACATTCATACCTGAAACAGACTTTGTCAATATTCTGAAGATTTACTTGTACAGCCATGTTTATTAGTGAACTCAGCTCAATTACCAGAAAATGAAACTAGCCCAGATGTCCACCAACAGATACGAATATTTAAAAAAGAGAGAATTTTATGTGAATAGATATGAAGTCATAGTATTTCCAGACAGGTGGGAGGCAATTGGAGATCATTACATTGGGTGAAATGAGCCAAACTCAGAAAGACAGTGTTTTCCCTTACATGCAAACCCTAGATTTGTGTGTGTTTGTGTGTGTGCATATATACACATGTGTGTGTATATATATATATGTATGTGTGTGTATGTGTGTGTGTGTCTGTGTGTGTGTCTGTGTGTGTATGTGAACATTTGTGAGTGTGTGATAAAAACAGAAGAGAAGCCATGAGAGGGGTAGAAGAGATGCTAGACGAGATGGGGAGGGAGCTAAAATAGAGAGGGAGAATGTGTGTAATATAAAATATGAAGATGGTGACTATTTGTGGTTGTGAAGAGGTTCAGCAAATTCGGAGCAAGAGTTCAGGAGAGAGGAAGGGGATGGTAAAGAATAAATATAGTCTGCAGTATATTATAAATATAGTCTGCATAATATATTATAAAAATAACAACAAATATAATAATAATAAATGAGATAATATAAGTAAAGATATTATTAGGAGTAAA